AAATCCATGCCCTAAACTCCCTTCGCCGGCCGAAAATCATTCAAATGTCGAAGTGACAACAGCCGTCGGGAATACTACAGTAGCATTATATCGTCCTAGCGCGGACGGGACAGTAATGAGCTCTTCCATAAATCGTAAGCAAAATATTGTCATAAGGGGCGCCCCAGAGTCCACGTCCTGCATTCCGAAGGAACGAGCGACGCACGACCTAGACCTTCTTCATCAGTACGCCAGTGCCGTCCTGCAGGATGGGGAAATATTCACCGTTAAAAAAGCTTTCCGACTAGGCAGAGCGGACCCAAATCGTGACCTAGAAAAATCCCCAAGACCCCTGAAAGTTATTTTGGAAAACGAAGCCCAAGCAGCGCATTTGTTAGAAAGTAGAACGACCTTACGCAATTCGCACAAGGAAGTGTTTTTTCAACCAGACTACGAACCGAGGGAAAGACTGAAAATGAGAGAACTGAGATCAGAATTGAAGGAGAGAATTGGCAAAGGAGAGAAAGGGCTGAAGATCAAAAATGGACAAATAGTCCAGACAAAGGGGTCTTTCCTGTGGTCAGAACCCGTCACAATGAAGGCCGGGCCTCTCCAACAAATCAGTCATTGAAGGTTATATCCGCAAATGTGCAAAGCCTCTTCAACAAACTAGATGAACTAAGACACTTAGTTGATGAAATTAAGCCAGACATTATGGCATTCACAGAAACGTGGCTAACTGAAGTTATCGCAGATTCAGAAATATCACTTAGAGGATATCAGCAATTCAGGAGAGATAGACTAAGCCGAGGAGGAGGAGTCATAATTTATGTCACTTGCAAGCTAAGCGCTATGGCTGATGTACACAGACCGGTACGGGATGTGGAACTGCTAAGCGTTACCATATCTACTAAGAATGTCCGATCATTGACGCTTTCGGTAGTGTACCGTTCACCTAACCATACTTCTGACCAAGATCTCATGCTCATATCCGAACTGTACCAAGCTAGCGAGAAGAAAGACGTCCTTATCGTTGGGGATTTTAACGCTCCTGGCATTGATTGGCTAACGTGGACTGCACAAGGGCCGCGAGACAGCTTTAATCACAAACTACTACAATGGGCAACGGACAAACTTCTCTGCCAGAATGCTACCTTTGGAACACAGGTCAGGAAGGGCAGCAGTCGAACTGCCTTGATCTTATTTTTACCCGAGAGGAGGAAAACGTGTTAGACCTGCAGGACCGACAGCCATTAGGGTCAAGCGACCACATCACACTCTACTTCGAGTACTCACTGTTTTACAAACCCGCCCAACCCGAGAGGTGGGAGAGGAACATTTGGAAAGGTGACTGTTCTCTCATGAGGAGGGAAGTGGCAGCTATATCATGGGAGACTGAACTGCATGGTCGAGCAAACGATAACTGGAATACTTTCAGTTCCTTACTGAAAGAGATTGTTTATTCCAATTGTCCTCTTAGAAGGAAGACAATCACAAACCGCCCAAAATGGATAAACCCGGACTTGAAGGCCTCTTTCAGAAAAAGGAATCGTCTGTGGAGGCGTTACAGACAAACTGGCTCCGACGAACACTTACAGGAATATAAGCGGCAACGAAGCGTCTGTAAAAGTGAGGCCTCAAAACTGCGAAAGAAGTTTGGACAGAACATACTCCGAAACTCGTTGGTGCATCCGAAAATTCTATATGGTTATATACGAAGTACTAAAAGGACTCAGGAGCTCATCCCTGCCCTTAGGTCTGCAGATGGAAAAGTGGATATTGATGACCAGGTTAAAGCATCCCTCCTTTCCGACTTCTTTCAGTCCGTCTTCACCCGAGAACCTAGTGCTATATTTGCCCATCCATCCATTCGCCAAACAACCTCTCCTCCCAGTACCCTTCCCCATCCTATCCCCTCCCTACCCTCCTTAACCGAGGAACCACTCTTTTCATCTACCATTGTTAGGGCCGAGCTACTCCGGCTGAAACCTGCCAAATCGCCTGACCCAGATAGAATTCCCGCCCTAGCACTTCGCGAACTTGCTAATGAACTGTGCAAACCCTTATCCGCAATATTTCAAAAGTCATTTGAAGACGGCGAGCTACCGGAAGAATGGAAGTGCGCACTGATTACTCCGATCCATTAAGGAGGCTCAAGACTTGACTGCGGAAATTATCGTCCTGTCAGTCTTACTTACATCGCGTGTAAAATAATGGAACGCATTATCAAAAGACACTTGATGAAATACCTGGAACAGAACAAAATATTGTGCGATGCCCAACACGGCTTTCGTCCAGGGCGCTCCTGCTTAACGAGTGTTCTTTACTCACACGAGAAATGGACACGAGCTACCGATAAGGGTTTTACAGTAGATGTCATATTTTTTGACTTCAAGAAGGCCTTTGACAGTGTCCCACACAGGCTTCTTTTGCAAAAGATCTGGGATGTAGGGATTCAAGGGAGAATGTTTAAGTGGATCAGGAGTTTTCTGTCCTCCAGACTACAAAGAGTCGTCGTTAGTAATTCTACCTCGGAATGGGTAAAGGTGGAAAGTGGTGTCCCACAGGGTTTTGTCTTAGGCCCAGTACTCTTCCTGATTTATGTTAATGACTGCATCAGCGAAGTGAATTGCGAGGCTCTCATGTTCGCGGATGACATAAAAATATGGAGTGAAGTCAAGTGTGATGATGACGCAGAGAAGTTGCAGTCGAACATCAACAAACTGTGTGCTTGGTTGAACAGATGGCTTTTGAAGTTCAACGTGTCCAAATGCGTGGTTTTGCACCTGAACACCGGCCGCAATGCCTCTTCCAAACACCAGTACTATATTGACGGGACGAGGTTAGAAACTGTGGAAAGACACAGAGATCTGGGTGTATGGACGACCACAAATCTATCGCCATCAGAACACTGCAGAAAGATGGTCCAGAAGGCAACTAGTACTCTACACTGGATCAGACGTGCATTTAAAATATTTCCTCCCGAACTCTTCGAAAGACTCTTTGGTGTCTTTGTAAGACCTCATCTAGAGTATGGAATGCCAGCAACTTCACCATGGATGAGGAAGGATATCAACTTACTCGAACAAGTGCAACGCAGAGCGACAAAGATTGTCGACGGTCTAAAGCATTTGTCTTATCAGGAGAGGCTAAATTTGCTTGGCCTATTCCCTCTCTCTTATAGACAAATAAACTGCAGTCTACTCTGGACGTTCCGGATTGTTCGCGGCCAGGGTTGCTCATTAAGGGCAGAGGACTTCTTTGAGTTCGCCCGTACAAACCAACTACGCGGCCATGCATTCAAAGTCGGGAATGAGCGAACACGTTTAGACCGGCGAAAATTTTCTTTCAGCCTGCGGGTTGTCATGCCGTGGAACTCGCTTCCAAGCGAGATGGTGACGGCTGACACAGTTTATGTGTTTAAAAGAAAACTTGCTCGTCTAGTTTTCGACAGAAATCGGCTTGTACAGCATGACTATGCACAGCCAGTTTTGTAAAATCTGTCATATACAATCTTCCGCACTAATTTACAGAGACCCCATGCACTACCTTATGATTACGATTGAACTGTGACCCAATAACATTTTAAATGCCTGCAATTTAATTTTATTTTGGAGAATGAATCTGCGAAAGCACTGTACATAAATAGGGTCATCAAGGGCTCTGCCTGTAACCCTTCAATATACATATACATATACATATACATACATATACATGCCGAAAAGACCGCGTTGAACATCGTGGTGGTGGTTGTTTTCTTTATATCGGAGTCTCACATTTACATTTTCCCTATGTTCTAAACATTTTTCCCTCTCTGAAATAATAATAAATAATTTTTTTGAAAAAACCTCGGAAGTCCCATCATATCAAGGAAATATAAATTTTTAAGTAAACTTTAGAGCAAGTGAACAGATTCGGTACAGTATCCAGTTCTCGGTTACAGAATAAACTCTCACATATAAAAACGGTAAGCAAGCAGTGAACAAAAACTCCTTATGCAAGAAAACTAGATGAGTACGAATTAATTAACTTTTAAGCGGTCAGTGAAGACTGTTTATCGTTTAAAATATAATTTTTTTTAAAATTTTACGAGGAAAACCGGTTATATATGCGGGTAAAACTTAATAGCATTGAGGATATGTTGGGTCAAAAAACATGACACTTTTTTTCCGCTTTATGATAAATCAAAAAAACACGGCGTGAAGATGAGATGTCTTATGACAAAATTAGGGAATTTTGCCAGAGTTACACTGGAAAACTGTGTAAGAGATAAAGAAATCGAATAAAGAAATATAAATTTCATTAATTTTTTCAAAATTATGCTGCGCGTTTTGACCTAGTCGCCTCGAGCCAGGGCTTTTTTCGTGCCAACCGATAAAATAGATCGGCAGTATAATGCTTTGTCTTCAACAGTTACTGGAAGTAGTTTTGTTCCATCTACCTCCTTCTCGATAATTTTCGTTCAGTGAATATGTTGTTGAAAATATAATGGTGCGATGACTATTCTGATAAGAATGCTTGTGTCCACATGTTCATTAGGGCCTTTAATGGCAGTGGTTACTATCCTGAAATACATTCAATCATACAAATTCAGTCCGCTCGTTGCGACAGTGGGAGCATTCGTGATTTGCTGTGATCTCTCTCCCATTACTTGTTGTCCAGAATGTGAGAATCTCTTTGCCAGATTTATTATAAATGTTGCGGTGCCAGAAGTGGACTGAGCGCACATACAGGTTCCTTGGCGAATGCCCCTGACTATTCCAGAGTCCTCCGTTTGGACACGAACACGGATATAGTCAAAGTTTTACCTTCGACGACTCTGAGCAATAATACTGTAGACTTCGGTTTAATAGTAACAATCATACCTACATATGAGCGCCGAAGTATAAGCCGTTTGTTATTCCCCTGTAAATTTCTCTGTTCAGGTAGTGTATTGGTCGTCTAATTCCAGCAGCGGATTTGGGTTATTGGGTTTCGTAATACAAGAGGTTGGTGCGCAGGTTTCCCCTGCGCTCTCCAAAATGGCTTCTAGGAACGATGGCATACAACTTTTGCTGCAGGCTGAAAAGGCAGCTGCTGAAAAAGTCGCGGAAGCCAAGCGAAGTACGCCTTTATTACGCTGACCGTGTGACCTTAAATTGCCTCAGATCTTTTGTGTTTTTTGTTAGACTGACCCTTACGCGACGTTGCCAGCATTGCTGTAGTAAATTAGGTCTCATGCTTAGTACTTTCGGAGGCCCGCGTAAGTACTGCTGGTTATCGACACCAAAGAACCCGCGGTCGTGTTGTGCTTGCTCTTCATTCACAGGACCTCGTCAGATTATCTTGATTTTGTGTGGGTTTTTTTTTACTTCAGCTAGACTTACTAATCCGCTCTTTTGGACGTGATATTGTTACTCCGATCTGTCTTACACATCCACCGTGAAGACTACCTCTTCTGAGCATTTTTCCATTTCACGCTGTCTTCTGAACGTTCACCCAGTTCCGTTTTGCCCTTTGCGGCCGCAGCGCTGTTACTTCCCCTTTACATACTCAGTCGTCCACTTTCCTGTTCGTCCACTTATTTGTGTGATATCTTTAGTGTACGATTTCAAGCATGGGTAGGTGAATTCATACGGGCTGGACCGGCGGTAAGACCGATCCAGAGCTTCTGCGAGTGAAAGTTGTACTGGACGACGAAGTTTGTGAAAGACGGAACCCGCGTGGCGGAATAAGGCAGCTTTCTCGAGCTCCAGTAGCAGCGATTGAATTTCGGGAAATTTTCGCAATAGCCTTACCATTCTCAGAGGGAATATGACGCTGTTTGAAGGGCGGATACCCTTTGGAATTACTGCCATCAGTAGGGTACTTTTCTATAAAACCTTTCAGACATAAGGTGAAGGATACACCCTCGTTTTAGGAGGGTGTTATGGGAATACTGCCTGTTGCCCCCAGCAAGACGTTAAACATCTGCTCATTTTAGTTCCCTACCCGTAGTTGTGAAAATTCGAACCCCGGTTAGCATATCACAGACAGAAGATTCGTTCACCGAGATAGGTCAGCTTGCATCCTGATGTTTTCTAGAGCGACTTCGCCACCTAAAACGCCAGGTCATAAACACGTATTTCTGGGTATGCCCCCTCGTTTCATTCTCTAATGGTGCTTGGAGCAAACTGCTCGAAACGAAGGTCTGCGCCTCGATTCAATTTTATCAGCGAAAGGCAAAGAAGGTCGCATGTGCATTGTAACGTTTTACTCATTCGTGCGGTCGATAGGTTAGTGATATCAATGACGACGTAACTCACCTTTACAGAAAGTTGCCACCGTAGTAAGGTGCGCAACTTATGAATACGACCAGTGGCCCCTTAAATGCCAGCGGCCGTGATGACAGGCGTGCCTTCCCCAATAGCTGTTTATATTGTCCAACATGGAACAGTAACCGGATCTTCTTTTTACTGCCAGCATTCAAAGTACTATTATTTCTCAGGTAATTTCCTAACAAATCTCGCAATGTCGACACGTCAGAAGTTATGGTAGGTAATCTTGCTAAAATGTTGCCAGTATATTTTGTTTGTGAATGATACATTTGGCTATTGTAAGTACGCAGAGATACAGTACTCGCGTATATTTTCGTTTGTGTTACCAAGGGAAGTTGAAAAGGCTGAAGGAAGCAAAACAGGAAGCGCTAACTGAGATCGAAATTGAAAAGAATGAACGCGAGAAACAGTACAAAGCTCTCGAGGATGAAGTGAGTGCTCCGTATTTTGTCCGCTCTCATTTTCTCGTGTTTCCTTTTCGGGGAATAGTTTCTAATGCGTCATTTGTGCATCCCGTAAGCCGAGTTAACATCAGCGTACCAGGGCACTTCAGGATTTCGGCTTCTTTCCAACCGCCTGCAAATGCTGCACCCTATGAATGGCTGTTTGAGTAGTATCATTTTTCCCATTCATTCTTGATGCCCTTATAAAGTCGAGTATATTTTAAGTAAAATTTTTACAATAATATGTTTTTTCTCACGCATTTGGTAGCAAATGACTTCTTGTTCAATTTCTGTACTTTGGCAAAAGGGGGTTTTTCGGTTACAACTAAGTTTCAAATTATGAGGTTTTTTAGGTCGTGAAATGTCTATTCATGATTTATTTTACCTGTCCATTTATCAGTGCCGCCTAAATAGTGTGCAACGTGGTCCACATCCATCGTAAAATTTTACGAGTCTTTTATGATGTCTTTTTTTACTAGCGTATAGAAATGCATGATATTCCTAAATGGTCTCCCATTTGCAATTCGTCACTTTGTTGGTTTTTTGCTCCGTGTGGGCTCACCGCTTTTTAAGATTCACATGGATCCTCCTCATCAACATTTCAGGTCTTCGGCCGTCGATCGGGTATCCAGGCGCAGATTAACCAGGTGACCCAGAAAACACTGGAACTACAGGCTGACTCAATGAGGCAACACAAGGACTCTGCAATAAACATGCTCTTGGAAACAGTGCTTTCCATTGAACCGCGCCTTCATATCAATTTCCGGCCGGAACTTTCGGCTGTCAAGTAATTTACGCCCAATGCCCTCCGCTTTTTCCTATCGTCGTCCTCTCAACCATCTGTTGTAACACTCTCGTAAACCTAAATCCTGTGATACGTAAACTGATTTTCCTGTTACTACTGCTGTGCAACTGTGTGCGGGTGCCCCCACCCCCATTTATTGTTTACAATCATAAAACCTTACCTCTTATTGCTCTTTCCGAACGTCGCTCTTCTACCGTGCGTTGACAGAGACAAACAGAATGATGGGATTTTAAAGACTGAGTCTCCTCATCGACACCATCGATGTTATCGGGGACGAAGTGATGCTTGTGTAACTCGACTAACTGCTACCGATATGCTCCTCATTCCAAACCTAAGGGCCAGAGCGTAGAAGATTTCGGCTGTTGCCGTGCACGCATCTCTCTGGAATGAGGAGAAAGGTCTTGCGCGCAACCACAAGAGGGGCTAGAATAAAGACCTCTGGGTCTGTTGCGTGACCTTGAGGTATGCCAATCATGGCCAAGTGTGTGAGTTTGCAGCTCAGCCGGCAGTACATCCCGTCCAAATGAATCCTGTGGGCCCGACTTGATGCTGCGTGTGGCTGGCTAGCGACGGCAACTAGAACAGAAACCGTCGGTGATATGTATCGAAGCCATTAGTACCAAGCTGGTGGATGGCATTATCTTTTAAATTTATTTCGGTCCGGAATGTTTTCGTTTGCCAACATGTCACTTCAAATTATATTCAACTTTATGAAAGTTAGGATATCTCCAGTAAGGTAGGTAAGGTGTTCTTTGCATTTTTTGGAGTAGGATGACTTCCTGTCACGCCTTTATGTGTGTGTGCGGGGGAGGGACGCCGCTGAAGAAATAAATTCCCGAATCTTTCGGTGCGAATGAATAAGATGTTCCCGTTCTGTCCAAAGGACGCACGACAGTTCGCTCGTCGTGACCGACGGTGTCCACCGTACGCTTCACAGCAGGGACGGCGACTTGCGCTGGAATTAGTTTACAGTGGCAGTAGACTTTCTCAGCATCTAACGCGCCCTATCCTCCCACATCTGTACCCGGTGTCAAAACAACCGGAGGCGGATGAGGACGCTGGTGGCTGGCATGAGGTAAACCCGCACTCAGGCGTACCACCACACACCCTGGTCAACAACTGCCCTGACCAGGATTTTGTACAACAAAAAAATAAGCGGGAGAGGGACGGCACAGATACCGAATAGCGCCGCGTGAACTGGAGGTTGGGCCTGACAACATAAGCCACTGTTGGCATTCGTTATGGGTGCGTATTTCTGATAACGCCTGTCGGTCTCCGATCTGGCCTCCATGTTGATGCAGTGCATCTACCGCGTGACCCGTTTTCGGGGGCAGGCACAACCAGCCCGAGGTTATCGCAGAGGACCGCCTTCCGCTGGGATCCATTGGCGACTGGCGCGTATCATCCACACATACGGTCGACTGCGTCCACCGCCTGCCCTACCGAGTGAGTACAATAACAGTGACTTGTGCGTGAATTAGTTTGCAATGGCGCGGACTTGCACAGCATCTCCTTAACTCACCCCCTTCCCGTCACTCACCTTGTTTCCGTGACAAGACGGTGTCAGGACTGCCGGAGTGGCCTCTCGCTTGGCAGTCGACAAAATTAAAGAGCTATATACGCATATTACACGCGACCTAATCTCCACCAGGCTTTGGTGGTGGCGACTCGGATCTGACATCGGCGAGAGGGCCAACAGACCACATTTTCAAGCAGCCATGGTAGACTGAGATGGGCCGAGTTACCCCGCCAGTGGGCAACCTTCCAAGTCACGACTGTGAGCGCGTCTGACTTTTTATGGTGAGAAATGCAGGGACCTGTCGTGAGGGTGGATTCCTTAGTGTCTACCTCACCTCCGCCCTTCCTTCTCCCATGCACCAGTCAGCACGTCAGTCAGCTGATGGTGGGGTCGGGAGCCGTGACCGACGCGACCTACGTCTAGGCGTGTCACCCCAATTGCTATGGGCTCGCGCAGACTCGGTGTAGCCCAGTAAACTCGTGTCCCGACCCTATCAGGCCCGCGTTTTGGTTCGTCATATCTGCAAAGCATCCCGTTTTGAGGGCGCCAGCTACGAGGACCACGGGTTCGGGGATCCCCTCCAGCCGAGTCCCCAGCGCATCCACTCACACCCTCAGTTGACCACCTTGACACTGTCGCCTGCCCGAACCTGGTGGACGCGAAAAGATACCGCGTAGATGAGGGCTGAATCGTCCCACTCGGTGAATAAGGAGGCTTTTGCTTGCTTAGAATTAGATCGAGGAGCACACGTTTGCCAGTAACATTTTGACAACTTTTGGCCTCGCTAAAATTCATGGTAAAAGGACACACGACAAATTATTCTGCTGACAGCATACACATATGCACCAAGTCCTAATTTGCTGCCGGGCTTTTTGTTGTCTTAGTAAATCAATGTCCCCTAGCCGATCCTAATATTTAACTCAAGTCTATCATCCCCCTCTCTCTACCTCTCACTGCTGATAGCCAATCGAATCGCCAGCGTGGATAGGCTGCGGACGACGCCTAAGCGTGTATACATACACGGATGAGGTAGGTATTGTTCGGATTGGCCAGGTAAACCAAACGCTTCGATATACCCTCTGTTCAAATGGTGCTTCGAGATGCGAAAATGGGTTCATGAAGAGTTCAGATTTAAAACAAGCTAGTCGAGCGGGCAGCGAACGAGGCTTGTTTGTGTGATTAAGTCAATTCGTGTTTTCACTGACAAGTAGAATGAGGTCAGCACGACTCATTTTTATGTTAATAGAGTGCAGCCGCACTTCCGTGTTGTAGAGCCCTGACTGATGGATTAGAGAACAGGCACTACTGGTTTGTCGGCGCCCATCAATGCTTCTTTCCTCGTTTAACATCACTGTGGAAGTACATTTGGTATTGAGTTCATATAGCAGAAAGCACACTGGGAAGGCTGGGGGACCCACTGATGGAAGGAGGTGACTCACTATGGAGGCGTATTGGGGCCAAATGATAAGAAAGCTCTCCGAAGGAGGCTCGGTGTCAGGTCGAGCCATATGGGCGTAAATTGATGCGATGCGGTATCGCCTATGGTTTGGACTAGATGTCATGGGACTGAACGAAGTATGGGAAGCCTTCCTATCCTTCCTTTTTTGTCGCCGAAAAGTCGATATCTTTCTTAATTTCCCAGCTTCATTCGGATATTTCTGGCGCGCCATTGACGAATCAGAGTTTTTGGTCCAACACTATTCACGGTGTGTTTGGTTTACTACAGTTGATCCTGTAAATGACAGTTTGACCGCCGTTACCGACGATGTCCACCGTGTGCTTCACAACAAGGTGAGGACAGGCACGATGACTTGCATGTGAGCTAGTTTACAGTGATAGTAGACTTGCGCAGCATCTCCCGCACTCTCTCCTCTTCCCCCACCTGGGCACGGTCTCAAGACAGAGGGAAAAAGGTTAGAGGCGGAAGAGGGCACTGGTGGCTAGCACGGCATAAACCCCCACCTAGGCGTACCACCACACCCTTAACTCCACAACGGACACCGATCAGGATATTATGCCTCAAGAAATACACTATGTACGGGATCTAACCACATTTATGGAAATGTTCGTATTTGTGACCAAAATTCATTAGGCAGTTTCTTTCTGATATGCAGTGGCACCAAGTTTCTATTTTTCGGGTCTGCCTGAATAAGCCCCTCTTATTATGTTCTACTGCGCACAACGCCAAACATGATAGAGTTCCAGACTTCCGTGAGAGGACTACCAAATTTGGGCTCGTGTATTTGGTAAAATCCTGTTTTAGGGATTACAAGCGCTTTATGTTTATGTTGATTGTCTGAAGAACAAATTAACTAAGATTTTGGACGGGTCTTATACGCAAGGCACACTTAGGCCTGCAGACTTTCGGAGTATCAGCCAGACATGGGAATATGGTACCCCAGTACTACGGCCTGCAATGTACTAAAGTGCAAGAGAGTTCCCATTTCCGTCTCCCAATTCCAACCCTAACTGTATTGCCTATGGTTTGGCCCAAATGTCATGGGACTGAAGGAAACATGGGAAGTCTTCCTGTCTCACGTAGCTAAGACATATCCAGTGTAATGGAAAACCTCCACGGTAGAAGTGGACCGTTTCGTAAGCAGTTTTGCTTACATGAAGCTATTTTAAGCTTACTGTCTTGTAATACCTAAGACCCAGAGACCGCAAAAGAACGATTATTTCCTCGTCTGCTTATCTTAAGGTGACGTCTGCGACGGACGACCAAAGCGATATGGTCGCCCCTCAACTCTCTGAGCTTAGATCCTGGTAGGTGATTGTAAGTTAAGGAGTAACGTCTACGATGGAGGAGGGAAGCAAAACGATCGCCTCCCAACTCTCTGAGGTACAAGATAATCCAATAAAAGCGGAAGGACGATGCCGAATGCAGACGCCATGTGTAGAGCAGTAATGAACAACCTGCGACCTACTCAAATAAGTAAAGTAGGCATTTTTCACATGCAACGGATGCTTTGGGTCCCTCCCCCTATCGTTGCCCGAAGTATATTCCGCCGTTCCAAGTAATATCTAATGTCCACCTACTTGAATGTTCAGTGCCATCGCCTTGCGACTGAGCTTCCGTCTGGCTGAAGCGTGAGCATTGAAAAAATCATCTTATATTCTTAGAGTTACAGATATGACCCACCGGGTACTGAAAGTGAAAGAACACCTTCGCACAAGTAAACAGTGGGGTGGTGCTCTGACTTTACAAAGAAGCTTGTGAAAATCCTGTTTTGTCTGGTGAGAGGAAACCTCTCACCAATACCCTGGCCTTGGTTGTATGGTATCCACTGGAGGATAATAGACCTGACTTACAATTGTGTAAATATTTACCGTACTGCCAACACAGGTAGTAGGTAAAAGCCCAGAGCCGCGTGCTTCGCAGATCTTGTGTTGCTGCCTGGTACAGCTGCGGGGGGTTCGGCTCATTAGTTGGTCCTCCAGCCTTCCCTGCGTGTTTTCTGGTAATA